ACCTCTCTCCCAAAGGTAAATTTTTATTCTTCAAAAAGTGTAGTGTTTAACCACATATTTTTCTGTTCTTCTTAGAATAAAGAAAAGATAGCATGGGATTCTTCCAGTGTCCTTGTTTACCTGTAGTGTAGGTACCATTTCAAGAATGCAATCTAATTCTTCAGGGTGTTCAGAGTATATACAAAGACTTTGGCACATTTAGTGCTTAACATGAATTGCAGTCGAATCAGTTTATCCCTTTTCAATGTCATTGAATATTGTTAAGTATTGAAGTTGCTTGTTTTTTCTTTCCATGAAAAAAGATTCCAGTAGCTCCAGCTGTGCCTGCTGTTAGCTTGGTTCCACCTGCGTTTCCTGTCACAATGTCTGTCCCTCCTCCTGGTTATAGCGCAATTCCTCCTCCACCCTTCTTGCGAGCGAGTTTCAACCCTTCACAGCCACCTCCAGGTCAGTTAGTAGAAATGAATTTGAGTATGTAATAAGTACAGTCAGTTTGTGTGCTTCTACATACATCATGCTTTCTATAGTTTTCCATCAGCTACTGGTTACTGTTTGAGCCACTTGACCTTTGAATCTTTAATTTTAATCTAGTATGGAATTTCTTATGTCTAGCTTGATATTACTTTTACCAGTGTAAAAGTAATAGTATAATAGTAAATGTAATAGTGAATGTAATAGTCAATGTAAAAGTCTTCTGTCGAGACTGGAAATTACAGCAGAATTTTTTTTGAATTTTGGCAAAAATGAAAATTTAAAAATCCTTAAGATTAATCTCCTTTCTTTGGAAAATTTTGAAACTCTTAATTTTCTTCTTTGGATATTGCTGACAGAAATCACTTTTAAAGATGCACATGCAGATCATCTATAGTTAAGATGGAGTTGTTTTTGAAAACAATAACCACCATTGCCTCTTCCCATACATTTGTTGTTTGCTAGTCTTCAGTGATAGAGCTTTTCAGGATGACTAATGTAGGCAAGGTTTTACTGCAAAACTTTATTTGCTTCCCTTGTAATAATTTGTCTTTTTTTTCCATATAGGTTATATGCCTCCCCCAGTTCCACCTGTCGTCCCACCACCTGTCGTCCCGCCACCTGTTGTCCCACCAGTTGTCCCAACATGTAAGTTTGATTCTTCTAATAGTTGTTTGTTATGAAAAACTTAATTGTTTGATATACTGCTTGTTGTTTAACCAAAAGCAAGTTAATCCTGTGTAATGGAAAACAGCAACACAGAAGTTATTGTTTAGCTGGTTTAAGCAGGTATTGAGAAAAAGATTTACAGAGCTTTTCAGGTTGACTGAAAAATGATACTAACCATGGAGTTACTGGAAAAAAAATTACGGCAAATTAATCATTTATTATTTGTATGCATAGTTCAATATTTGAACCTGTCTGTAACAGATGTATCTTTTACTTGAGCTATTTGGTGTTAGTCACTGAATAATTGATAATAATTTATTTTTGCTTAGCCTTTTAACTGTATTCATTTAAAGTTTAAAAATATCTGTTGAAGAGCACTGACTGCTTAGGTTGCTTGCAGTTCATGATCTCTACAAAAAAATGAAATATTACTGTGCTTATTTAGGGTAAGAAATTATTACCAAAATGTGTAACACTTAGGGTAATTAATTTCACTTGTTTTGATTTATCAGCCTCACCTCTGCCAAAGTAATCTTGAAGGCTTGAATATATGATTACTGTGATACACTTCTGTTATTTCTCTACAGCTTTAGTGCAACCTCCATTACCAATTGCACAAGAGACGATGAAGGATGTTCCTTTTACTAGTCTTGTTCTACCAGTTGGCACAGTTACTAGCAATCTAGCTACTCCAACGTTATCTGCTGGAAGCGTTTTTAATCCTCTGCCAATCAGCAAACCAGAATCAGATGAAAAGGGATCACATCTTACAGACCTTCAGATTTCTTCCAGTGAAAACAATAGATCTGGTAAGAAATGTCTTTATTGTCCGATATGATCGCATACAGGAAATATCATACTTCTGAGGTTTTTCTTGCAGATTGTAGTCCATTACGCTAATAACTACAGAGTAGGAAGTTTCAGGCTGGATATCATTTTCAGTTTAAGTTGGAGGAGTGGTGGGAACCATCTCTGTCATCATTTGATCATTGATTTCTAGCAGCTTATGCTCAGGGATGTTTTCTTCGTAGACTTGACGAGTAAAGCTGAGACTGGGAGCCTTTTAGAAAACTTCTTAAAAGTGCATTCTTACTACACAAGTGGCAATGGAAAGGAGCAGGAGAGTATAACATTTATAGAATTACATCAAAGATTTTAATACTTCCCTTGCGTAAACTGGGTGATGTCTGTGGGGTTTGTCAATTTTAAGCTGCTGTGTGTTCTTTACTATGTAGAGATGTTCATTTCTGTGGCATAATGTCTGTTTATCACCAATATGATTAAAATGATAAATGTTCATTATAGAAATTGAGACAGACCTTGTCAGGAGCATCATCACTGAATGCATTACCTGAATACGGATTAAGCTGCATTTTGTTTTGCATACTGTGTTACACTGGCTTTTTCTGTTAACTGTTGTTCTTGTTGCTGCATTTTAGTGCAAAGTGATGTCTCGAGTAGCTCTGGACTTGTTGGAGGAGTGCAGCCACCCAGCGTTTCAAGTGGTTCTGGGCTTACTGGAGAAGGGCAGCCACCCAGTGTCTCAAGTAGCTCTGGACTTGCAGGGGGAGTACAGCCACCCAGTGTTTCAAGCAGCTCTGGACTTGCAGGAGGAGTGCAACCACCAACTGTTTCAAGCAGTTCTGGTCTTGCAGGAGGAGTGCAGCTACCTACTGTCTCCAGTAGCTCTTCTCTTGCTGGCGGAGTTCAGCCAACCAGCGTCTCAAGTAGCTCTGGACTTATGGCTGGAGTGCAACCACCAAACGTCTCCAGTAGCTCAGGGCTTCTAGCTGGAGTGCATCCACCCACTGTCTCAAGCAGCCCTGGCCTTCTGACAGGAATGCAGCCACCCAATGTCTCAAGCAGCTCAGGAGTTCTGGCAGGAGTACAGCCACCAAGTGTCTCAAACAACTCTGGGCTTCTCATAATGCCACCACCCAATGTTTCAAGTAGTTCTGGACTTATGGGAGTGCCACCACCAAATATTTCAAGTAGTTCGGGACTTCTGGCAATGCAGCATCCAGCTGGGGTTCAAAATATGCCTCATTTAAATATTAGTGGTCAAAGGATGCCAGGAATG